TTCCCCTGCCCCCCCCCCCCCCCTCCCCAATGTTTGGACTGCAGGACTCACCAGCAGCAATTACAGGGAAAAAAACTGAACAAAATCTTTGCCATTCTATCCTTATGTTAAATGAATAATCACATATTTAGTGCTTTTCTGGATTTACACATTTTAGGAACACAAGAATAGCACCGACTGTTTTGTGATTTATGCCACTGACTTTATTTCTGAACTCCCTTCCCAAAAGCTTCTGTTAGCTGATTCTTAAAATTCATAAAGAGTAGTGGTGCTGTACCACCAGACTGGCAGGTTTTATTGAGATCAGGGTCTTGCGGCGGTTGGGCACGTCTGTCCTTCCCTGCTGTACGCCGTGCTGTGCCTGCACGTGCAACCTTTAAACCTTAGAGGAGGGTGACCCTAATTATTGTGAAATAGTGGTTATCACGAGTTACTGCAGGTTGCTGACTATATGTTTATTGATACATTTTTTTCATTATTAGACACTTGTCTGTCAGCGGCAAATATTTTGCAGTGATTCCACACGTTGTTAGTGTGTGTGGACTGCAGTAAGAACTTGGGTGAAAAACGTTATTTTTGAGATCAGAGGGTGCCTTTGGACAGGCTGCGTACTCCTCGGCTCCACTTAAGCACAAAACACATCTCTCAGTATTTTCGAGAGGTCAGAGGTACAAGGGACACGAGGGGAAAGCAGATGGTATTTCCCTTAGATTTTCCTCCCTATGGGCACCCTAACAAAAATGCTTCCTGCTGTGACAGTCCACTTAGTCTTGAAATCTAGTTACCATCCATTGTGACCTTTATTCTTTACCTAAACTGCTAAATTTCTGCAAAAAGTCAGTTCCCATGGTATTCTGGCGATGCTGTCAGAAGAGGACAGAATGGTATCGTTCCATAATACTGACGTTCTCTAAAGATACAGATGATTTTACACTCGGTGGTGTTTCGTTCTGCATGTCTCATGGCAAACTACAAAAGATCACTCAAAAGGAAAGGTGAGTTTTGCCAAATATATTCCTCTGGGGTCCTGTTAATTACACATACTCACTTCCTCACTCAGCTATGATTTGCCGCTCTGTAGCCTTTTTAAAATCTGCGTGAAATAGCAAATTTAGGTTGTAGTAGTAAAGTTCTTACATACAGGACTCTGAGACGCTCACAGAGTCCCATTCAGTGGTATGGAAATTAACTAAATACACTCTTCTCATCTGTTTGTGTGCGAACTCTCAAAGAAATCCATCACTTCACAGCTTCTGTGGCTTCCTAAACTTGTGCAATGATTTCTGCTCCCCAAAGTGTTCAGAAAGCCCTTACAGTTCAGCTCCAATTATGTAGAACAAAACCATGAAAATTTCCCATATGATTTAAAGCTTCTAAACACCCATCATTTTTAAGTCTAGATCATTTTCTAATGTGAACTGTAGGCTAATAAGACAGGTAGATATGTTTGTATGTTTGCAGCAAAGACTTGATCTCCGTCGAAGCTAACTCTCTAGGTTCACTATCACCAGATAGGCTTAGGTAAAAATGACATAATTCCTGTTTCAAGTGGGTCATCCAAAATACTAATTAAGTTCCAGTATTTCCCAATGAAAGTAATTTCCTAGCAAACATCTTACTTGCTTTCCAAGAAGGAAATAAAACTGCAGAATACGGCATCCTGAAACATGAAGAGATAGAGCAGTAACTTACAGTAAGCAGTTACGATGCCAGTACAGGTCTCCTAGCGAATGCTGTGATGTCCGAACAGCTGCCGTCCTATTTCCTTTAACTCTGAAATTGTCATTTAAAAATTAACATCTAAAGAAGCC